TCTCTCTCTCTCTCTCTCTCTCTCTCTCTCTCTCTCTCTCTCTCTCTCTCTCTCGGTTTAGATACCTATTAACTCTTTGTAACGCATCGTTCCCGACACGTCGAACAGAATTTTTCCCATTGAACACTATCGAACAACTTTCTATCTTTTTCCTATTAATACCTTTGATACGAACGAAGGATTTCTTAAGACACTTTTTGATCGAACACCTTTAGAACCAGCGGGACTCGATCGAGGACCTTCGGATTAAACGGCGAAAAAGATAAAGACCGTGGAAGACATTGTAACAAGAAAATTGTATTCGAACACTGCTATATTTCTTCTCTATTTCTCCGTTGAATATTCCAGTAGTCATTTTGAAGAAGCGCGAAACTGAATCTAGAAGACGCGAGCGTGTTCGCAAAAGCGAGCACGAGAAGGAATAGTCGTTTTCTTTAATTTCATTTAGACGATACCGAATTTATGCGTATTTAAATTATATAAAGTATATCAAGAACAGTGCGAACACGTGCAACGATGACGACGTACGCGTTTGATTTTTATAGAATGCAAGTAAACACGCGGTTTTTCACATATTGGACACGAGTATTATTTACGAGTTGTCGCTGTGCGACGATTATTTCCGTGTACATATTTATTATTTTCCAACGTTGCATTCGTTTGTACGATCGATAACTAAATACCAGAATCGGTGAAATGTTTGCAGTCGAGTATGATACAATTGTCGCATACTGCACGCTCTGCATGCATATCGTTCCTGGAGGATCGATCCATTCGTCGCCGTAGGTTTTCGGATAAATTCATCCGCTTCTGCATCGTTTGCTGAAATTTAAACTCGTCTATCTTATCTGCGCGAGGTTGCGCATCCGCGTAAACTTTGCACGTCTCGCAGCGGAAAAGAAAAGAACATCCAACCGCAGTCGCGATTCTCCATGCACCGGTTGCAAGGATTGCGAGAGAGATTCTTGCATCTTAGCGCGCTCTCTCTCTCTCTCTCTCTCTCTCCTCTTTCCTCCCCTCTCCCACCCTTTCTTCTCTCCTCCCGGGACGCAAGGGACACTATTTTCATATTTATAACCATTTTCATTCGCAGCAATCCCAACTTCTCTATTTGGTTTGCCGCGTCCGGTAGCGTAAACGTAACGAGGACCTACAATTATTCTAAGGTTTCGATCGCGGCTCGATACGCGCGTCGTAGTTCGCTTTATCGATAGGAATCACACGAACGTTGTCGCGCGGTCCAAGGATTCTCGCGGTAGAAAGGAAGAAACGGTTCGCCGTCGAGAAACGCGGAACGTTTTCGCGTTCTCCGATTCCGCTCGAAGCGAGCGAAACGATTTCTTCGTCGGCGTGGAAAGTCTGCTCGTGAATTGGAGCAAGACAGGGCACGATCGGAGCTTGCTGCCGGGTGTGTAGTTTTTCAAGAAACGTAACGCGATCGCGACGATCGCGATCATTTCCGTCGAGATCATCGATCGCGATGCATCGTTCTTCCGAGAACTCGTTCTTCGTCGCGGTGCGTTCGCGGAACACCGATAAGATAGACGACCGACGACTACGACGGAGTAGCAACGGGACGTTCAACTTTTCCGAGGAGACGGAGCTTCCACGATGGTTGCGCGCGCGCGCAGCCGCGTCGACGAAACACAGCGTCCCTTATTATTCGTCGGCAAAGTATCGCCGAGCGGTAACGCGAGCTAATCGACGTTCGCGTAACAGGTAACGGAATCGATAGAGGGGGACGAGCGTTTGCGCGAACGAGTGGGACGATTTTACTTCGGGACCGATCTTTCCGCGGCGATACAGATAAAACTCGCGATCTATGTTCCGGATCGCGATATTGGATGCGCTTGTCCCGCCTTGGACGATAGCAGGCTGCACTCGCGCTATCTTTCCACCGCGAGTTCGCAGAGTTTCGGTAGGAAAGTTGGTTCTCGCTCGAATCTTGCTAGACATTTTCCAGAACGATCGTTCGTCGCTGGAAATTCGCCGCGACCGGTCTTTGCTATATTCTCGCTCGAAATCGGTCGAAGCGATCGGTTTCGGCTAGGATCTCGTTGGAAATTCGGTGGAACAATCGTTTCCAGAGAGTAGAACCGGAAGGATCGGTTCTATCCGGAATCCAGCTGGAAGCCTGCCGCGACGACCTTCGACGACGATTCGTCCTTGCCGGTATCGCGTCGGAAGAATTGTCGTCTCCGTCGAGGACGCCGAGCTATGTACCTAGAAAACATAATCGAGCGCGCACGATCGTTCCGCTTTCCTGCTACCTGTGTTCAGCGGAGAACGGACCGATGCGTCGTCGGTCCGTCGGCGATGCGTGGAAATATGTCGCGATCCGGGATTCGCGGATCGAATCGCGCGTCGTTTTCCTTCGCCGTTCGCCCATCGGAGGGTGGAAACGCGCGGCGGAACGCGGCGCGGACACGGTTCCCCGGATAATCGTCGATCGAGTTCGATCGATTCGCGGCCCTCGTGCACGCGCGGGAAGAATTTCACGGTTAACGCGACTCCGCGTGTCCTCGCGCGAGCGAACGCTGATTCAGCCGGCCGACCAGAGTCGCGGTCGCGGTCGCGGGAGAAACGAGACCGTCGCATTCTCGAGTGCATCGTTGACGCGGCTCCGCCGTTTCGCTCGCGACGCGTTCGTTGGATCGTGTCGGACACGGCAACGTGTTCGGAACGCGTTTTCTCGAAGCGATCGACGAACCTGCCCCCGACGCTCGGGACGACCGTGGCCGCGCCGAACACCTGTTGGTCGTTGCCGTCTCGACGGCGATTGCTCGAGGAACGAGAACCAGTCTTCGGAAAAGTCGTCCGTCCAAATACATTGTTTCGCGCGAATTTCTCGGAAGGACTATCGGCCGGTGGAAGGGAGAGTTCGCGTGTAATCGCGACGAAGAGATGGAAACACGTCCCCCTCCCCGCACACACACACGGAGCGTCTAGAAGGACGTAAAATCGTAGAAGTAGAACGACGGGAAGAAAGATTCTAGGCGGAAAACGCGTCGAATCGAAAATCGGGATCGAGTTCGGGAGTTCGTCGATCGACGCTGACGAAGATCGGATCGCGGGATCGACGGAGATCGGTACTTTCTCGATCGTTTGAAGGAGGGTCGAGTCTATCCGAACTTTAGGACGCGATCGAGCCGAGGTGTCGCGGTTACACGTGGTTCCTAGGCTAGATCGGCATCCGTTTTTGCGGCTTCGCACGCGCGCGTTTCCCGGGTGGAAAGATTCGTTCGACGGAGTTGCGGGAATGTTGATCCACCGAGGCCGAAGGTAGTTGCGGCGCGAGGTCGACGCGTTCCCCGCGTTGGCCGCGTTGGCCGCGTTGGCCGCGTACCGACCGCGCGATTTTCCATGGGAGACCGACGTCGTCGCGGTATCCGCGACAGTTGTTGCGATTCCGCTGCCGACGCTCGCGAGGAAGGCGAACCAACGTCTGCTCGTCGCTCGTGCTTCGCGAACGCGCGATGCGGGTCCTGCAGTTTCGGAGGCTACGTATTTCGTTGCGAAAGACGATTCCGCCGCGAACACCGCCGCTGAGAGTTCCTCGAATTCCTATCTCGCATCGTTCCCGGCTGCATCTTTGATTCCGGAGAACGTGTTCAAGGTGTCGTGGATTATTCGTTGATATTTCGGTCCTCTCCGACGCGACGCGACGCGACGCGACGCATCCCGCCGTGCACGAGGAATAATAAAGAGACTTTTCGATGGACCATTCCGTGGGTCAACATCCCTCGGTGTTTCCCTTTGAAGACCGGGGGAACGAACGCGGCGTACCCGCGTCGGTCGATCTCTTTTCGCCGTTAGGCGCCACCGTTTCCGGCGCGGCAGACGCGAGCTCTCGGAAATCGGGGAAGCGAAAGAGAGGTAAAAGAGGAGAGCTCGGGCGTAGCGTGGAAACGGCGAATGCGGCGGTAGAGACTCGTCTCCGACGAAAATGTAATCGGATCGAGGAGTATCGCGCGCGCGCGGAATGGACGAGTCCCGGGACGCCGTGATATTTGTCGCAGCCCTGGTCGGTCTTATCTCGGTGCCCGCGATACGGCATTCTCTTTAACCGATAGTCTTTGTTTCCGTTAAAGGCCTAGCCCGGGCGGAGTCGGCGACAACGGTGTCCAAGGAGCTCGCGGCAAGGGTCTGCCGCACGTGATCTACTGCCGTCTCTGGCGTTGGCCGGATCTGCAGTCGCATCAGGAGCTGAGAGCGATCGAGCACTGCGAGTACGCGTTCACGCAGAAACGGGACGAGGTCTGCGTGAATCCGTACCACTACCAACGAATACAAACGCCAGGTAGACGGAGCCCGACAAATTCCCTTCGGTCGCCTTTCCATCGTTCCTCCGTATCGATTGCGCTCGTTCGATGGTACCCTCTGGGTCAAGACGGACCTGGGCACCGGTGTCCGAGGGTTAATCGGCTGTAAGCAAAAGCGATCGAACGATCGCGTGACTATAATCGCACGAAACGTTGCAGTTTTGCCAGCTATTCTCGTGCCGCGGCACAACCTCGCCGGGGACGAGTCCGTCCTCTATAATACCTCCCTGGAGGAGCTGAGCGTCAGCGTGCCGGAGAACACGAGCTTCCACGCGACGCTGAACCACCAGCACCACAATCAACAGGGTATACCGCAGTCTCCCCAGCAGCAGCAGCAGCAGCAACAGCAACAGNCGTACCACTACCAACGAATACAAACGCCAGGTAGACGGAGCCCGACAAATTCCCTTCGGTCGCCTTTCCATCGTTCCTCCGTATCGATTGCGCTCGTTCGATGGTACCCTCTGGGTCAAGACGGACCTGGGCACCGGTGTCCGAGGGTTAATCGGCTGTAAGCAAAAGCGATCGAACGATCGCGTGACTATAATCGCACGAAACGTTGCAGTTTTGCCAGCTATTCTCGTGCCGCGGCACAACCTCGCCGGGGACGAGTCCGTCCTCTATAATACCTCCCTGGAGGAGCTGAGCGTCAGCGTGCCGGAGAACACGAGCTTCCACGCGACGCTGAACCACCAGCACCACAATCAACAGGGTATACCGCAGTCTCCCCAGCAACAGCAACAGCAGCAACAGCAACAGCAACAGCAACAGCAACAGCAGCAGCAACAGCAGCAGCAACAACAACAACAACAACAACAACAACAGCAGCAGCAACAGCAGGCGAACAATCCCTATCAAGCGATGCAGGTTCGCGATTCCTCGGACGACCGATTAAATTAGAGCTAGTGTTTATTTCTTCTCGGAGGCATCACGCTTCCGTCTCGCTTTCAGAGTATGCAAGCGACGAGTCCGGCGAGCGTGGGGAGCCTAGGAAGCGTCCAAGGTTCACCGCATCCGGCGCCCGGATCCATGGATCCTCCCGCGGACACACCGCCCCCGGGATACATAAGCGAGGATGGCGACAACATGGATCACAACGACAACATGTCTTTGTCGCGCTTGTCTCCCAGCCCCGTCGACGCGCAGCCGGTTATGTACTGCGAGCCCGCGTTTTGGTGAGTCCGGAGCGGCTGCTCTTCCGGAGCTCTCCGAAGATATTATAAGCTATTGTAAGCTGTTCGTCGCGCTCTCGATTCCAGGTGTTCGATAAGCTACTACGAGCTGAACACGAGAGTAGGCGAGACCTTCCACGCGTCGCAACCGAGCATCACGGTCGACGGGTTCACCGATCCCAGTAACTCCGAGCGCTTCTGTTTGGGCCTGTTATCGAACGTGAATCGCAACACCGTGGTCGAGCAGACGAGACGACATATCGGCAAAGGAGCCAGGCTTTATTACATCGGTGGCGAGGTGTTCGCGGAGTGTTTGTCCGATTCGAGCATATTCGTTCAGAGTCCTAACTGTAACCAGCGCTACGGTTGGCATCCGGCCACCGTTTGTAAAATACCACCCGGTAGATAGCTTTCTTCGTGTCCACGTCGATGTTTCCCGAAACGACCGGTGCAATTATTACAGCGTAACTTCTTCTGATTCAGGCTGTAATTTGAAGATCTTCAACAACCAGGAGTTCGCCGCGCTGTTGTCCCAGTCGGTGTCCCAAGGGTTCGAGGCGGTATACCAGCTAACTCGGATGTGCACGATTAGGATGAGCTTCGTGAAGGGCTGGGGCGCGGCGTATCGGCGGCAAACGGTGACATCCACCCCCTGTTGGATCGAACTGCATTTAAACGGTCCGTTGCAATGGTTGGACAGGGTGCTGACGCAGATGGGCTCGCCGCGTCTACCCTGTTCCTCGATGTCATAAAATTGTACATTTCTCTCCTTCCTGGACACGAGACACAGCAAAGAGACGATCCGCGTGCCGCCCATGACGCCAGCGTCGCCGTCGTTGATCGGTTTTCTTTCCACAGCGAATCGGACTGTTTTCCATTCGAATTCTCCGCGATAGTTGACGCCACACGGTCGGCCAACAAACAAATAAACGAAAAGAGAAGACGCGACGAGAATGTGTACGACGCGTTTTGTGCTCAAAAATCGAAGGGTTCTAACGTTCCCGCCATTACGGGAAGAAATGGTATGTAAATAACGAGTCACGCGTTCGGAGGAACAGAAAGAACGTACGCGTTCTCGATCGACGCGTTCGACGAAACCGACACCGTCGACACGTGGCATCGATTTACGGTCACGATTCCGATTTTAGACGAATCAAGAGGGCGGACAACAAAGTATTTGTACTGTAAACAGAATTGCGCGCGTGTACGCGTAAGCGACATGGTAAAACAGATGAGAGAGAGAGAGAGAGAGAGAGAGAGAGAGAGAGAGAGAGAGAGAGTGATAGAGAAAGTGATAGAGAAAGAGAGAGAGAGAGAGAGAGAGAGAGAAAGTGATAGAGAAAGAGAGAGCTCAGCCTTCGCATATTTTTATTGCTTGTTAAGCCAACGCACTCCGGTCTTACAGTATACGTGAACTCTTACAAGGTAAATACATAATACCGCGTAACTCGTGTCTACGATCCGCTAGTAGAGAGGTCCTCTGGCCAGCGGACGAACGTGTAGTCCCATTGCACAGCCTCCAAACCGACACACCGGTCCGTTCGGAGTATTCGTCAATGTTTTTCCTACGAATAAACCAATCGCGGCATCCATTTCTCTCGTACGATAACAATATGAATGGATAAATACAGTGTTCAATACGTGTGTAACTGTTCGACGCGTTCGATTCGTTAAACAACTATGTCCCGAAGGTTTGGAACGCTCTAAATACGGCTGTAAGCAAGCTGTTCGACGCAGTTCGAATTCCGGAGCTTTTCGAACTTCGAATTGTACCGATCGTTCTCGCTTCGATTTCTTCATCAGTATTTCTTACTTCTTTTTATACTCGTCATCTTCTATCCTAAGCTTTTTAGAATTTCCTTTCGATACGTTCGTTGGGACACGTTAGAGGAATCGTACCAAATATGAAATACCGATATTCGCTTCTTCCTGTTTCTGTTACGAAGGAAACGCGATCTAGAAAAGTTTACAAGTTGCCATCGAAAGAATGCTGGCACGGTTCAAAGTTCGAACTGGTCCGCGCAGCTCGGATCGGGTACCGAAGAATTACAGATCGAAGGATCACGGATTTAAAAGGAAAAAGATTAAATTGCTACGTACTAAGGTGTCTTATCGGGTGTAACTGATATTCTTATTAAGCGTAAGCGTTGTATCTGTTGACATTGGTAGAAGTACCGAATGCTCGAAAATCTGTGGTAGATAGTAATATTTACACGACACACCATGCGACGTGAACCGATGCGAACGCGGACAAAATTATACGTATACGTATACCTAACATCGCATGCTGGACATTCGTGCAGCGCATGGTAAACATTACGATGCACATTTTCGTGTTGATGTTAACATAACGAGCCGTTCGTTAGCTAAGAATCGTTGTACAAGCGTTTGGCTCGGTACGCAACAGGCGGAGCGCGACGCTTTTGCCCTCTAAGGCGTATACGGTGGCCCTTCCGGGACCGTGAGCGACGAGGCCACGCCTATTTTGGGCGGTCCGTGAAACAGTTTTCAGCGAATATTCCTTTTTCCGCGACATTCGTGCCTCCGAGATTGCTTCCGGGGGTAAAGGGCTCGCGTAGTCTCGCGATATTGTTCGAGAAAATTGTCCGTTGAACGACGAAAGATACGACAGAATGGGGAAACTTGTTGATCGAACTTGAAAATTACGGGTAGAAAGCGAAGGGGAGCAAGGAAAAGCAACGGTCTGGCCTTTAAGATGAGATGCTTTCGCACGAGTCGAGCGTAATCGATCGATTCTGTAACACATTGAATTTCTTTGCGAATTGTTTGAGAATCATAGCGAACGGTTTTTGTATTTTTAGCGCAGATTTTATAAAAGCATATTTCGTATTCGAGACGAAGAAGACGAAGAAGAAGAAGAAGAGAGTACCGTTAATGAGAAACGAGGAAAGAACTCGAGGGGACATCTTTCACGTGGACCGTACGAGAAAAGAACAAGGGGTGGGCGAGTTTTAACGTGTTTTTATTATATTATGAGATATATGTGTGTATATATATATATGTATGTATGTATGTATGTATGTATATGTATATATATGTATATATATATATATATATATATTAGTGCCGAAAGTACGGGACAGTCTTTGCACCAAGTGCATGGATTCAGTTATCTTTTTTCTTTTTTCATTTTCTAACGAATAAAATTTTAAAGATAACATGATACGACTTCTATGGAGTCTTTACGTGTACGATGGGGGCCAATCGCACGCACAGATTGCGAGATTCGATCTCGACGAGAACGTCAAACGTTTCAGAGAACCGGTTCCTCTTTATACATACAACATAAATATGTGTATGTACACGCGTATATACGTATACGTATACGCAAAAACAGATACGTGTATACGCGTGTGCGCATAAAAATATATGTATTATATATTTTTCGTCGATATCGTTTGTAACGTTTCATTTCTACGCCGTTTGTGATCGATTCGTTCTTTAATATATGTATTAAAGACTTGGAAACGCGGTGAAACTAATGTAACGCACCACCGCCGGGTGCGCGAAAATTATGTTCATCGGTACTCATGGTGGATCCCTGCGAATCACGCCGCAGAAAACAGAAAATGTAGTAGAAAGCGAACGCGATTGTGATTAAGACGAACGAGTCGCGGATCGGTTAATCGCGGAAACGGGATCTATTTTTCTAACATCGTGTCGGGCTTTCGGGACAGACGATCGAGACTAATCCAGCTTATCCGTGACTCGTTCGCAGATCTTTCGACGCGTTTTTATGTGTGCGACGCAGCCGGTCGTTTGTTCTTTTTATATTCTGTTTTTCCCCTTGATATTTAAGAACTTGCATACCTTTTTTTTTTACGTTGTAGAAGACCGCGGAAGCGTAGGCGTCTCGCATGCGCACAGCGAACAGTGAGAGCGACGATTCGCGAACTTGCCAGTCGACCGATATTCGCCGAATCGACGTTGCGTCGCCGGTCTATTTTCTGGAAGAAGCGATTTGACTTGCGCAAATACGAACGATTATTTATTTTATTCGTTAACGATTCATATCGGATGAACAACCGATGCTTCGATTAGGTCAGGGCTGGTAGAAAATTGCAATTTATAGACGAAACGAATTTGTAACTCTGTAATCAATTTAACACTAAACCTACCGTATCGAAATCGCCGGTTTCACGGTTTTTATTCGAATATTTGAAATTGTTGAATATTTGAATAGTTGAAATTGTAAAAATTCTCTCGTAGGAAATGGTCGAATAAATTTCTGAATTCAAGTGTACGTTACAATAAAAACGGCGAAAAGACTAAACGAATTCGGTCTTGTTTATTCTTATAAAGCAACAGGCGCGGTCTGTCGCTTTCAGTGCTCGGCAGGTTTAGTGTGAAAACGGCTCGGTTTTTAACGGTAGTCCGCGCGCGATCCAGCCGTAACAACCGTCCCCCACCGCAATCATTTCAGACTGCTAGAATTTCGGTGCTCGGAGTGGGGTGGAAAGTAATTTGGACCCTCGACGTATCCTCAAGTCTTTTCTTTCCGAAAACAGGCTGTAGAACATTCGAATTGTATAATTGCTGGCGACGATGTAACGGAAGTAGCAACCGATCGAGATGGTACGAAGGCTCGCGGTTCAACGTAGAGTTTAGAGAATAATCGTCCAAAGAAATGACTAAACGCGAGAAAGAAAATCGATCCGGATCGAATTTAGACCCGATTTGGAAAAAGCGGTTGCTAGCCCGCGACATCGCTGTCAACAGTTCACAGTTTTACCTATTACACGCGCTACACGTTCGATCTTCCAACTCTCTGAGAAGCTCGTCTCGCGGACTTTTGCGAATCTGAAAAATAAGAGAAACAGTTGCACCGGAATCCGTGCGACGCGGCTATTTAAAAAGTTGGAAGCCTACTCGAGGGACGTTGAAGGGATGAGACAAGCTAGGACAGTGGCGAAGAATGCGTATGCCAGAGAAAGCACGAGATTCGTGGGGTGGAACGATGTATTTGATTGCCGTCTCGATAGTGTAATCGTGTAGTCTAGGGATTCGTTACCGGTGTTTTTTATTTGCCGAAAGAAGGATCGAAGAAGGAACGAGCGCCGTATCGTCGGGCGGCTCGAGCAACCGTTGCAGTAGCCTCGTAATCGAGACAGAAAGGAACCACCGCGTCTGTTTTCGGCCGCGGGAACGCCGCGCCACGTCGATATCATTTCCAGAATTGTCGCGCGCCGATCGGCTCGCGATTTCGGGAACGGTTTCGCGAAATACTACTGTCCGCTTGTCGTGTCGAGCGATCTACCACAACCACTTGCCTCCTTGCCAGACTGCCACTAATTAAGAAACTAATTAAGCAAACGCGAGCCGCACGGGAGACAAAGAAGCCGCTGGAAAGAAAGCCGACCATCGGCTTCGGGCGCGTTCTTTGGCTTCTTCGACTTACTCGTTCCACGTTACCATAATAATATTAAACACAGATTCTCTCCATCCGCGTCGGCGACAGAACGAAAAACGGTCCTCTCTTTATCTCGGAGAACGTGTTCCGTTCGCCAAAAAGTATTGTTTAAGTGTAGCATTTGCCAAAGTTTCTTTTTAGTACAAGAGTGTCGATTAACTGCGGATAGGCAATCCGAACGCGAAACGGACGTCGCATTCGTGGAAATTCTCGGTGGTGTTGCTTTTTTTATTTTCGTTCTTTGACGTATTCGTTACCGTTTTATTTTATTATTTTTCTTTTCTTTTCTTTTTTTTTTTTTTT